GGCTGCCCCTGTCTTCTTCGCTGCCTCTTTCCTCTTGGCTTTCTTCCATGATTCTGCCATCTTGACAAAAAGCACCTGGGGAAGGAGTCGCACTGCGAGTATCTCCTAACTACTTACGTGAATACAAACCTAGAACTTCTCAGCAACATAGCAGGAATTACAAGTGATTATGAAACGTAACTGAATTACAGTGTGACAACTACCATTAAGAGCTCGACAAACCCAGAAAAAAGAAAGTTGATGTTGTTGCAAGCACAAGAAAGAAGTGACGTTTTCTGCCTTATGCATGCGCAAAAGAGTCCTGGTCTATTCTCTATGGAAGAATCTATTACTTGCACAACTGATAATGGATAGTTGACAGTGAAGAAGACTTCTGTTGAAATCTGAAGATCAGAAGGGAAAGTTACTGTAATGTTTCAGTCAAAATCATTTTAAAAGCAGTATCATTCTTCTGTAATAAATTTCTAAGTTGATTTATGGACTTAAGATAGATCATAATATTTACCGATTCAAATAAAATCGCCTTAACTAAAAAGGGAAGAAACCGATCTTATCATGATTGTAACTGAGTTAACAAAGACAGTAGTACAATTTAACAGGCAATTGGAAGAAACCACATTGCTCCTATGGCTCGTGGGGTTCAACCAGTAGGACACATGTCATCAGTATCTGCTTCATTATATATGGTAACAATGACATTACCTACCTTAATATACGGTAACAATGACATTACCTACCTTTATATATGGTAACAATGACATTACCTACCTTAATATACGGTAACAATGACATTACCTACCTTTACATATGGTAACAATGAAATGACCTACCTTTATATATGGTAACAATGACATTACCTACCTTAATATACGGTAACAATGAAATGACCTACCTTTATATATGGTAACAATGAAATGACTTACCTTTATATATGGTAACAGTGAAATGACCTACCTTACATATGTTATAATGAAATGACCTACCTTTATATATGGTAACAATGACATGACCTACCTTTACATATGGTAACAATGAAATGACCTACCTTTATATATGGTAACAATAAAATGACCTACCTTTTTATATGGTAACAATGAAATGACCTACCTTTATTTATGGTAACAATGAAATGACCTACCTTTATATATGGTAACAATGAAATGACCTACCTTAGTCTTTGTTTCAACAAAGACGTATTGTATATATGTCCGTGGCTTTACTATCAGTCCATTAATTTGCTTTGAGACAGTTCACCAGAGAAGGGCAGTTGGAGACAGAGACGGGGTCAGATGTCACAAGAGGTCATGGGTCAGCAAGTGGACATCAAGGCGGTTCTGTAAATTCAAGATTGACAAACATGACAATAAAACATTGTGACCAGAGGAGGGATATAGTGCAACAGACAACAGTTCAGGTGTAGCTGAAGGGTAGAGCCTGACTGGCTGACCAAAGGCCAGATAATTATCTTCCATGACCAATCAGCATGAAGGTGACCTGGGATGAAAATCTTCCTGTCATCAAAGTCTGTGATCATCATAGGTCATTTCTGTCTTTGTTTCTTTTTATCTAATGTGAAAACTATTTGTTCAAACTAATGATCAACAGAAAATTTGATGGTCAGCGGTAAAGCTTAAACTACAAACATTGTCAGACATAATATTTCAGACAGTTGTTGATAAATAATGAAATCTGAACCCGGGGATGGGGGGTGGGGTCGTGAATGACAGCTTGAGGTTACGGTGACACACAATGGCCAGTATTCCTACATTCCATGTGTGGGCCACACACTGGACACTGAACCATGAAACAGCAGGGGAAGACAGGGCATCATGACAAACAGGATGTCAAAGTAATGCTTTCCAGGGAATTAAGGCAGATTTTATTTAGGGTGAAGGTCTATGATAACTGTCGTGGCAGCTGAGCATGGAGAAGGCCTAAGGAGTCCTACAATGTAATAGTCTGCTTAGCTGTGAAACAAGCAGGGACTTCACATCCATCACATTGGTTCAGTGTACAGTCTGCTAGATTTTGTTTTAATTCATGGTTCTATTTTGTTGTTAGACAATTACAAACTAACATCCTGATTTCATCCAGTGTTACTTGATTTAAAAGTGTCAACTGTGACATGTTTGATCTCCTGACTCTGTATATTTTATTATCTGCTAGAAAATTATGAAACATATATTTGATAATTTAATAGGACAAGAACTTCTTTTCTCATCTGAAAGGTCTCTATTTCTGTTGGGGTCAACATTCTCATCAGCAGTGTAACAGCTCCTTCATCCTGGGGACCAGGCAATCACTGTCATCACACATAATCAGACATTATTGGACATTCATGCTCTCACAAAAGAGATTTTATTACTCTTCCCCCAGGAGCTTCACGCGGAAGAAATATTCCCATCTCTCCACCATCACGCTCATAATTTATCAACATACATAGATCACCTACACTGCCAACATAAGGTTTATTGATTATTCTAGACGAATCAGTTGATATGGGTCAATTTAAGGATTCATCAAAATGTCATGTCCTGTATTGAGAGTGTAGCACAAGTTCTGTGACCACATTTCAAGGCTGTCAAATACTTCATGAGTGAGTGACTTCATTTCAGAAAAAAAAAATCAAAACTGTTTGTGTACATGGTACACCTGTACCTCAATATGATGTCCCATAGTGACTGTTTAAAAATAGGTATTTTGACTTAAGGAGGTAATAAACATGAGCTTACCATGTTTATTTCAGTATATTCTTTATTTCTTTGTCCAATATATGCATGTGCCTGGAACGTATGGCCTGACCATGACCAATGTGAAACATTCCTGCAATGAATTCTCCATGCTGCGGTCTTGTTAACCTGCCCCTGCTGCTGATGCTACTGCCTGTCTCTTTAATTCCAAGATATCTTTAAGTGAGTATAAATATTTCTAAGTCAGTTTTGATTGCCCATATTATTACCTGGAACTTTTATCGAAGAAATACATGATGAAGATATTTGTCTTTTCTTGTCAATAACATGTATATCTCATCAAGTGACCTGACCAAGTTGATACTCACCTATGTCAGGTCTTGACATGAGATAAATATGCTATTTCTCAAGTTCCGGACTTCATCATACATGGATGGTGGTATTCTTCTGTGTCGCTGTTTGAATGGAGTGTCATCAACTAAATCAATCCTGTGATGCACCATGCTACTGTGTCCAATATCCTCATCATGCTTGGAGAATATGTCAGCAAAACGCATAATGACATCAAGTCCTTGTGCTAACTGCTGTCTAGTCAGATCTGTCTTGTCAATCTCCACTTTATCCATAAGATCCTCTGGTTCAACAGGTTGACCAGTGGGAGGCTTCTGTATAGTCACACGCTGTACTTCACACAACAATGCTCTAGGATTATGTTAGATTACATGCATTTAGTTTACTTCATATAACACTTTAAACATACTGTATTATTTCAATACAACACAGGATAGAGATTATAACCATTTAACTCACCTGATTTAATATTATCTCTTTATCCTTTGCTGGTCTGAGCAGTTCTGTCAGTTTATGTGCTGAGAGAGTATGCAGTGTAATCAAAGCATGCAGTTGAACAATAGGTGTTAGCTCGGCCAATCAGCAAATGAAGCTTCTGGCCATGGGGCAGTTAGTAGGTAAGACAGGTCAGATACACTTTGTTATAGCTGACTGAAACTGACAACTAGTTATATATAATAAATATACGTAAAAACCTAAAATGAAATTAAAACAAATATATACAAAAACTACATCGGCCACATATGCTTAGTCCAATCAAAATCTCATAACAAAATTTATATTTGGTTCATAAACAACATGGTGACTGCTGTGCAGATTTCAGTGGATTTGCAGAGCATGTGTGCTGTCAACTGGGCATCGACAGATAATCTTTTCATGTTTTTAACGAAGGTGCTCAAGTGATTTGATGCACTGTTTGAAGAACTGTTTATTACGATAAAGGTCTTGATTATCAATCAGATCGTCTTTACTGGACGCTGCCATTTTGTTTCAAGCAAATGCAAGTCATATGAGGGATGTAATCTGATTGGTCAATAGGGGGGACATAGAAGGGACGTAACTCGTAATCGCCACAGGTGCCACTATCATCGAGCCTGGAAATTCCAGCCTAGTTCGTCAATGGTGGAACTGGACTTATAAAGTAAGTTAACTCCCTTGCTTCGGGAGAATGGATAAACAAAAACCATCTGTTACAGCAACTACTCTGTATGGGTTGGCATACACACAATTATCCCCAGTACCTGTAATCAATGTAATGTTTCTTCACACTCACAAAATTATATATATACATACATATAAAACAAATTTAAGCTTTGAACTTCCAGATACCTCCACATACACATTTAAACTTAAATACAATCTTCCTCAGTAATCATTCAGTGCTTGATGCACATGTGCAGTCGATACTGATTGTAGACTTTAATGCCTACCGTATTCGACGTAATAAGCACTCCGCTCTAATAAGCGCCTAAGGCGATATTTGTTAATATATTGGCTAGTGAACAATCCCAACTAGCACCCCTTCCAATTGATCAATATACAAAAGACTTATTTATTCGCAAAAATAGGCACTTGTGTGTTATATATATGCACCCTTAATTATGGGCAATTAACTTCTGGAAAAATATATCTCGTATTTAAACATTTCAGGCTGTCAGCATAAACCATGAAATTTGTCTTTCAACTGTGTTTTTTTCACCAAATAATATTTTAAAAAGAGCCCCCCTACTTCTAATTTTGAGAGGGTCCTGGGCGCTTATTTCGTCCAATACGGTATAATGGTTTACCACATCAGTATGCACTTGCCACTATCATGACAAACCTAGGCTACCCTATATCACATTCCTAATACATGCGTTGCTTTTAATCATATAGCCTTATTATTTTGATATAAATGCATACATCTTCGAGTCACTTTCCCGGCAAATCACGTGATATCAATACACCGGTCATGTGACCTTTCAAAGATGGCAGCGCCCATTTGTTTTGAAACGTGGTGCAACCGAGTTTGATATTCTTCTTGATATTGAGCGATCATGACGACGAGAGAGACATTTGACGATGTATTTGACGACGAAGCAGACGATGAACCAATTCACCGAAGGGAATGGAATAAAGTTGTGACAGATCTGAAGAAGGTGGTGTTTTCGTTTGAGATTGAGTGCCTCATATTTCGCACGTTTACAGTCAAGATCTCATCAAATCTTTATCATAAAGCCATTCGATAGATTCTAACAGAATGATCGTTTTGTAAAACCCCATCCATCCAGGCATTGTACCAAATGTATCCACTTTTACAAATCGTCTGCCAATGTTCGAGGAAAGTGTGGTCACGGTATTGAAGGTGTGTACGATGCACGCACTAGGGTTACGGTCACTGTTACGCGATTGATAATTTTGTACTGAAGTGAGATTATCATTGTTTGGGCTTCAAAAAGCAGCCTCTAAAAGCGTATAAAAGTATAGGTTCTTTATTGTCTGAAATAGAATAGTATCAGAAGAGTCTCGATCTATAAACATGTTGTAAGTCGTATATACTATATGAACTCCAGGATATAGCCTATAATAATAACATACGTAAACGATTATTGTATGGAATTATTTTAACAGTACACTGTGGTGCGATATCCAAGGTCATTGGGGCAGTGGTCTTTGTAAATGGCAAAACGACCGGAGACTATATATATTCCAACATGGTGTAACTGCAGTTGATGAAATCAAATACTGCATGCACGATGACAGCTCAGGACAGTATTCAGTGGCACACAATGTTTGAAAGACTAGTTTCATTTGTAAGTGTGTGAAAATAGTACTTTTCATTTTCCAACAATTTAAATACAAGAAATCAGGCAAACAAATTTACCTATAACTGACATTTTTTTGTTATAGCCTCAATTACTGAAGGAACTGTGGCATATGTTCATTGAAAACCCTGGGATGGCATGTATGTCCTCTGCAGGAAGTGTGTTGTGAGACGAAGATCCATGTAAATAGGGATAGGGTGGTAGTAATGAGTTTCTAACTCGGTCAATCACTAACCTGTTTATTGCCAAGACTGAGTGTATCAGTGAGTATACTTCTAAGTTCATCCAGCCAACCACCATGTTGTAATATCAGGAATTGTGACGTGAAACAAGATTCATTTCATCATTGTCTATGGCCTGGAATTGGAGAGAATGATTATATTATTGAATGTTTATTGCAGGGCGGTTATCGTGAGGGTGTGGAGTCTGGGCAGGAAAATACTTTGCAGTCAGGTTTCAATGCTGGCTATGATCAGGCTGTCAGGACTTGTTGGAAAATTGGACATTTAAGAGGCAAACTCAGGTGATAATATGTTGTATGATATTTACAAATAAGTGGAGATATCAAGTGGTGTCAATTTATTCAGTTTATAGTGTACTATCATAACGAATGTATGCAAGAGGCAATTCTACAGATGTGTCTACATTGTTGGTGTGATGTGATCAGGGTGCACTCTTGGAAGTTCCTGACATTGGCCCTGGCTTTATGTTAAAATGTCCTATATTCCAGAGGTACACCCACACTTGCCCAGCACAATGTGAAAATGTCCTATATTCCAGAGGTACACCCACACTTGCCAAGCACAATGTTAAAATGTCCTATATTCCAGAGGTACACCCACACTTGCCAAGCACAATGTTAAAATGTCCTATATTCCAGAGGTACACCCACACTTGCCCAGCACAATGTTAAAATGTCCTATATTCCAGAGGTACACCCACACTTGCCAAGCACAATGTTAAAATGTCCTATATTCCAGAGGTACACCCACACTTGCCCAGCACAATGTGAAAATGTCCTATATTCCAGAGGTACACCCACACCTGCCCAGCACAATGTGAAAAACTCCTATATTCCAGAGGTACACCCACACTTGCCCAGCACAATGTTAAAATGTCCTATATTCCAGAGGTACACCCACACTTGCCAAGCACAATGTTAAAATGTCCTATATTCCAGAGGTACACCCACACTTGCCCAGCACAATGTTAAAATGTCCTATATTCCAGAGGTACACCCACACTTGCCCAGCACAATGTGAAAATGTCCTATATTCCAGAGGTACACCCACACTTGCCCAGCACAATGTTAAAATGTCCTATATTCCAGAGCTACACCCACACTTGCCCAGCACAATGTTAAAATGTCCTATATTCCAGAGGTACACCCACACTTGCCCAGCACAATGTTAAAATGTCCTATATTCCAGAGGTACACCCACACTTGCCCAGCACAATGTTAAAATGTCCTATATTCCAGAGGTACACCCACACTTGCCAAGCACAATGTTAAAATGTCCTATATTCCAGAGGTACACCCACACTTGCCCAGCACAATGTTAAAATGTCCTATATTCCAGAGGTACACCCACACTTGCCCAGCACAATGTTAAAATGTCCTATATTCCAGAGGTACACCCACACTTGCCCAGCACAATGTTAAAATGTCCTATATTCCAGAGGTACACCCACACTTGCCCAGCACAATGTTAAAATGTCCTATATTCCAGAGGTACACCCACACTTGCCCAGCACAATGTTAAAATGCCCCACTGTATTTGAAAATGTGGGACTTTTTTTCAAATTTAGGGGCTTAAAGCACAAGGCCCTTCCCTAGAATTATCTGGGATGTAGAGAAATGAGATTGACTGGGATGTAGGATAATGAGAACTTGATGATGTTTTTATTCTGTTGATAGCTTACCATGTTTGTTAATAAAACTTCTTTGAATATTTATTTCGATTGCATGTGAAAAGCAAGTCTTCAAATGTCACATGATGCAAAAATATCAAACAAGGAATGTCAAGTGGCCTCCCAGCTAAAGTTAAATGCTACTTATCTTCAGTGTTCTGTTTCAGTGCTCATTTGTCCTTGAGGAGTCTAAACAGAGATGCAACAACAGCTGAAAGTGAAAGCCGTCATGGCGAAATAGAATCGCTCTTGAAAGAAATTACCCAGTTTGAAAAAGAATTAGTTGAATTGTCTAAACAAAATACACCCCTTGTGGAGGAAATGACCCCAGCCATTCCATTCTCTTTATCAGTGGATTCTAACTTTAATGGGCAGGATGCTGGTGACTGTAAACACAAGAAGGCCGATGCTACATGTGTCTGTGGTAAAGCGGGACATTGTCCAGAATCTGTAAATACAGAGCCAAACGCCAGTTGTGAAGAAATGACATCCAACCAAAGAGACACAATGCTCGTGATTTCAGAATCAGAGTTCATAATCAGAGAAAATCAGAAGCCGGTGTTTAAGAATAGCTGTGAAAATGTAGATTCAGAAGCTAATGTTACGTATGAACATTTTTTGAAAGAAGCAAACAGACTGATTACTGAGTAACTGATATCTTGCAATAAAAACCTGAGAAATGAAAGAAGATTGTCAAACACCTAAGTGACAGTTGTAGCACTTTTTTAATACTGGGCCACAATTGTGTAACAATGTTATCCCAAAACAAAAGTGTACAGAAAGGCTCATTAATGCTATTCTGGCCAAGCTGATATATGCATTCATCTAACTGAAATTTGCACAAGAAGTGTGTACCATTTTCAGAGAAAACGGGGCATTTTGTACACCATACACAATCGATTTGCTCAAGTTACATGGTGTCCACATGTACTTGTAGTTTTATTCACTGATAATTTAACTTATGAACATCAATTTTTTATTTCATTTTCGGTTTGTGGCCGGGCCAAGGTAATAGTGTTGAGCTCAACATGTCTGCTTGGCACAACGTTTTTGTGGGTGGAAACAACTTGACCGTCCTCAGCATGTGTGTATTTTCACTGCCTGGCTGTATCATGGAGTGAGCAAGTGAGTTTGATTTAACGCCACCTTGAACAGTATTCCAGTCATATCCCAGCATGTCAGCTTGGTGTGGGTGGACAGCCCGAAGTGACATAGATCCTAGACATTCACCATTCTTGTGAGACCCACGAGCACAGGTATGGTGCTGACAAACCAGGAGACATAAGGAGTAAGCATCTTGGATTTGAACCCATGGAGACTGGATTGTGTCACCTTACACAACATGGCCACCCTTGTCCCATGCTTTGGATAATGCACACAATCTTGCTAAGGAACTCACAGATTATGGGACAGTCTCATGGGAATTTGCAAAAAATGTTCGTGTTTTGAGAAAAAAAACACATGCAGATCTAGAACAACAATGGAATTCCTACTCTCTACCCTGACACTTTCCATTTGTTATCCACTTACCATAACAAAAATATCTCATAGGCCACACTGCCATACTGTCCTAGACTAGACTTGGTGAACATCCTCAGTCCTATGGTTTCTAGTCAAATGAAATATTTTAACACAAGGCTGTTTAATGCAGAAGAAGCCCATTTTTTTTGTCGGCAAATAGGCCTTCAGGTTTTGGTAATATGGTGTCACTCTTTCTTCAGGAGAAGGTAATATGTTGGATTCTTTCTCCAAGGAAGGTAAAATAGTGATGTAAGGGAGGTAACTCTAAACCCGGAAATATTTCTAAAATAAAACACATTGTTAAGTTACTAAGTTTGGAATGATTGTGTGGGTGTTGTGATGACATCATTGTTGTCATCACAGGGAGTTTTGTTGTCAGTTATTGTTTTGATCTGAACAAGTAAACATCATTTGAGTTTACCGGCACCTTTAGTCTTCTTTCATTGGTGGCAGCAGTGAACTAACGGATATTTGCACTTGGAAATGGATATGCCCAGGGTATCGTAGTGGGATGAGTGTGATTCTGGAGATATTGATAGTCATTTTAGCCAGCTGGAAAGTTTGTTCATAGTGAAAGACATCACGGAGAACAAGATGGTTGCTTGCTTTCATTTGTCATTGAAAGGTGAGGCGAAGCGGTTTTTCACCACATTATTGGCGGCTCAACGGTCAAGGTTTGCATCAGTAAAATTAGCATTCGTGGAGCGCTTCAGACCGGCGAGATCATCAGTGACTTTCAACAAGAATTGTCAGATAGGAAGCAGAGGAAGGGAGAAACGGCTGTGAAACTCAAGTATTCAATCATGGATCTAGTTACCAAGGCATTTTCAGATAATACCGATGATGCATCACTGTCAGCGCTACAGATTGTTCATTACAGGAGAGCACTGAAACCTGCGGTGGGACAGGGAAACTGCTAGAATCAACATGATCCAATCAGATGGGAATAATGTAAGGGAGGGACAAAATGCTATTTTGTTGGAATTAGCTAAGAAGATCTCATAACTAACTGTTAATCAAGAACAATTAGCAGCTTCAGTGGCAGCAGTTTCAAGAAATAATCCAAGGTAGATAGATAGATGCTACTAGTGTTATCAGCCGGGACATTTTGCACGTTATTGCAATCAGCAGAAAGGGAGGAGAGGATTTAACGGCAAGTGTCACAGGTGTAGAAGAATGGGTCATATGTCAAGGGACTGTAGAGCTAGATTTCCAGTGTCAGGCAGAAGAGGTCAGGAAAACTAGATGTTGCTAGGGAGGATAGCCGAGACTCTCTGGCAACCAAAGTGGTATCGGCGACATGTGTAAATTCACAAAATGCGAGAAGAATTGAAGTTGAAGGTGAATTAGGGGGATACAAATTGAAATGGCTTATTGACTGTGGTGCTGAAGTTAGCATTGTAACAGAAGATGTAGCAGGATGAGCTAGAGGTAAGAGACTTCCTCCATTAGTAGTACCTCATACTGTGTCAGGGGCTGATATGGGAACTGCAAGGGATATTGTTACATCATGCAAGGTGGGAAAGCAGAAAATTCAAGAACAGTGTTACACTGTGGTAAAGAATTCAATGTATCCAGCTATATAATCATGATAATTGGGATGGACTTATTCTCATAATTGGATATGCTATGTAGTATGGGAATTGACATTCTGTATGAATCATTGCATGTTTCTCAGAAGAACAGTAATACCCATGCATCGGTGTCTCATATTTCACCGACAGTCAGTGTGTGTCATGTGTACGTTTGAACATTCAGTGAAAGTGCCACCCAGAAGTATGAATATTGTACATGGAACTGTTTCATCTTTGGTCTCACCAGGTATAACAGGTATGCTAGAGTCAGCAGGCATGTTCGGATGTGAACGTTTTGGAATTGGGTGTGGTCGAGTACTCGATACAGTGTGAAACAACAACAAAGTGCTACTTCATCTTACCAACCCCTACAATACCACAACAGAGTAAACAGCTGGATCGGTGGTTGCAACATTTTCACCCACTTCTGATGATTCACCTGTTATTGCAAGTCTTCAAATCTACAGCGACAAGGAGGCAAACAGGAGTATGAAGGTTGACGAGATGGCTCGAACATTGTTAGATAATTCTCATGTAGCTGAAAATGAAAATAAGTGCATCTACAAGGTAATACAAGATAATGGTGACATGTTTTCAATGGAAGGTGAAGTAGGCCACATGACCGTGACTGAGCATTCAATACCAACTGGAAATGAGCACCTGTGTCTCATAAACCTCATCGAGTGTCACATGATGCATTGAAAAAGATTTCTGAGTTTGTGGATGACGGCTTACAATGTTGGATCATCAGGCCAAGTAAGAGTCCATGGTCTAGTCCGCTTGTTCTAGTAAGGAATGTAACAGTAACAGAAGGTGTTATGTGTCATTCTTTCTTTCAGTGAAGGTAATATAGTGTCATTCTTTCTTCAAGGAAGGTAATATAGTGTCATTCTTTCTTCAAGGAAGGTACGAGGGGTGTTCATTAAAGATTTCCCCTGACCCACTTCCGATGGACCTAGTGGAATGAAACTTGGCATAGGTATTAGTCTTTCTCCACATAGGAACCACCAAGAGTTACACACTTCTCCTGTCGTTTTATGCAACTATGGAGACCTCGCTTGTAAAAGCCCTCATTTTGGAAGTCAGATGGTGCAAGGTCACGAGAGTAAGGAGGATGTGGAAGGATTTCATAGCCACAGGACCGTGCTTCTGTCTGGGCAACATGAGAGTTGTCTACTGGAGCATTGTCTTCCTCAGCAGTGAAGCATAATAAGCTCCTGTAATTGTGGTACCCTTTGCCAAGAAATCCATCATCACTACTCCGTGCTGGTCCCAAAATACCGTGAGCATGACCTTGCCTGCAGAGGGTTGGACACGTGCCTTCTTTGGGGGTGGTGACTCCACATGCTTCCATTGCATCGACTGAACTTTAGTCTCAGGATCATAGTGATGGACCAATGTTTCATCCTGTGTGATAAGTCTGTCACTCACTCACTCACTCACTCACTCACTCACTCACTCACTCACTCACTCACTCACTCACTCACTCACTCACTCACTCACTCACTCACTCACTCACTCACTAATGGAAAGTAATATAGTGTCATTCTTTCTTCAGGGGAAGGTAATATAGTTTCATTCTTTAGGGGAAGGTAATACAGCAGCATCCTTTCTTCAGGGGAAGTTTTGTTTGTTTAACACTCCACTCAGAAATATTCCAGCTATATGAAGGCAGTCTGTAAATAATTGAGTCTGGATCAGACAGGCCAGTGTTTGACATCATGAGAATTGATCTACACATTTTTGAGATGTGATGACATGAATCGACCAAATCAGCGATGCTGACAATTCGATCCCATTAGTTACCTATTATGATAAGCATAGTCGTCTTTTAAGGCATGCATTTCTATGCTATACTATGCTGGTTCTTCACAGGTATTCAGGGAGAAGGTAATGTAGTGTCATTCTTTCTTCAAGAGAAGGTAATGTAGTGTCGTTCTTTCTTCAAGAGAAGGTAATGTAGTGTCGTTCTTTCTTCAAGAGAAGGTATTGTAGTGTCATTCTTTCTTCAAGAGAAGGTATTGTAGTGTCGTTCTTTCTTCAAGGGAAGGTAATAGCGTCAATCTCTCTTCAAGAGAAGGTAATACAAATAGTGTTATTCTTTCTCAAGAGAAGGAACTGTAGTGTCGTTCTTTCTTCAAGAGAAGGTAATGTAGTGTCGTTCTTTCTTCAAGAGAAGGTAATGTAGTGTCGTTCTTTCTTCAAGAGAAGGTAATACAAATAGTGTTATTCTTTCTTCAAGAGAAGGTAATGTAGTGTCGTTCTTTCTTCAAGAAAGGTAATACAAATAGTGTTATTCTTTCTTCAAGAGAAGGTAATGTAGTGTCGTTCTTTCTTCAAAAGAAGGTAATAGTGTCAATTTTTCTTCAAGGGAAGGTAATGTAGTGTCAATCTTCCTTCAAGGGAAGGTTATAGTGTCAATTTCTCTTCAAGAGAAGGTAATACAAATAGTGTTATTCTTTCTTCAAGAGAAGGTAATGTAGTGTCATTCTTTCTTTAAGAGAAGGTAATGTAGTGTCAATCTTCCTTCAAGGGAAGGTAATAGTGTCAATCTCTCTTCAAGAGAAGGTAATACAAATGGTGTTATTCT